AGTTCACATGTACATGCATTTTTTAAACAAAAAATCATTTATGGGATGTGGGTATCGCTGGCTGGCCGGCATTTATTGCCCAGCCCTAGCTGTTGTTGAGAAAGTGGTGACGAGCTGCTTTCTTGAACTGCTGCAGTTCCGCCCATTTCAATGTGATGGTCAAAAAGGCACAACAACACCTATTATTCTTCAGGAGGCTAAGGAAATTCAACATGTCCAAAGGGACCCTCACCAATTTTTAAAGATGCACCGTAGAAAGCATTCTATCTGGATGCATAACGGCTTAGTATGGCAACTGCTCTGCCCAGGACCATAAGAAACTACAGAAAGTTGTGTACCCAGTCCAAACCATCACCAAAGTCAACCTCCCATCCATGGACTCCATCTACACTTCTCATACTCACCTAAAGGCTGCCAACATCATCAAAGACCGCTCCCACCCTGGTAATACTCTCTTACAACTTCTTCCATCAGGCAGAAGATAAAGAAGTCTGAACACACGCACCAGCAGGTTCAAGAACAGACCTTTCCCTGCTGTTATCAACTGCTGAATAAACCTCTCTAATTTCAAATCTAATGTTGATCTTGCTTTTGTGCCCCTCCTGTGCAGCCAATACCTTGTATGCCTCACTCTGTCTAGACACCCTGCGATGTGTATGTCCTTTTATGTTATGATCTACCTGTACTGCTCACAAAACAAAATTTTTCACTGTACTTAGGTACATGGGACATATGGGGAGGTGATGGCCTAGTGGTATTATCGCTGGACTGTTAATCCAGAGACCCAGATAATGTTCTGAGGACCTGGGTTCGAATCCTGCCATGGCAGATGGTAGAATTTGAATGCAATAAAATATCTGGAATTAAGAGTCTAATGACAACCATGAATGTATTGTCGAATGTTGCAAAAACCCATCTGTCTCACTGATGTCCTTTAGGGAAGGAATCTACCATCCTTATCTGGTCTGGCCTACATGTGACTCCAGACCCACAGCAATGTGGTTGATTCTTAACTGCCCCCTGGGCAATTAGGGATGGACAATAAATGCTGCCTAGCCAGAGACGGCCTCGTCCCATGAATGAATGAAGGAACAATAAATCAAATCAAATCAGTTCATTTGGTGCAGGCTAGCTTCTCTTAGTTGTTGACCTTTTCCGCATTTCAAACAGCTCACTATCCAATGACCAACTAAATGACCCCCAGCCAGGACCCAGTGTCTTTGGGACTGGAAGAATAGGAGGGAGAAGGTTGCTGGTAAAAGGCAGAAGTGGAGAATAAAATAATTCTGCCTGGTGTGGACCAGAGTCATACAGCTGCAGAGTTAGATATGAGGCATGGGCTGAATCGGCTGCTCTCAATCAGGACAGAGGTAGAAAATATTATCATTGAATTTAACATTGTTAGTTTAGGAAGCAAGCAGATGAGGCACAGTTCCAGTCACTGATACTGTCTAGTAAACACTGCTACAGCGTTTGCATATATAGGTTTTTTGAACAGACCTGACTATGATCAAAAAAGCCTGAGACACTCATGATTTAGGCTCTCCTCAAGGAATAGTTTCTTGAGCAGAAAGAACTTACGTGGCATGGTATCATGTGATGGATTGAGTGAGTGCTTTCAGGGCAAGTAGAAAGAGAATCAGTGCTAGAAGATAGTTATTGGGTGAGAGCTGTATATATTTCATAGAAGTTGCTTGATTCCTATTGCTTCCCATGAAGCAGGATATCAACGTGGTAGTTAAATATAGTTCAAGGCCTCAAACATTTGCACAATATGCATCCACCCTTCAAAATACAGACACAAATGAATTCTTCTTGATAGCACAAGATATTCAAGAGATATTTTTAAAATTTGATCACAATAATTAATTACTAAACACCAAATGGAGAATTGATACCAGAGTGGAATTTGTTTGCTTTGTTTTTCAAATTAGGGTGTGATCAAATCTTTAAAAATATACACATTTCTTCATGGTTAGTTTAGCACATCCTGAACGAGTGGTCTCACCTTGTCATTGATCAGTACCAGTAAAATACAATGTGCCTTACTGAGCAAATTGCAGATAATAACCTGGATTTCATGACCTCAGAATGTCCCAAAGCACTCTATGACCAATGAACAACTTCAGAAGTCTAGTCACTGTTGAAATGTAGAAAATGAAATGGCCAATTTAAGCACAATTTAAGCTCCCACAGTCAGCAACAAGAAAATGACTAATTGATCTACTTTAATGACCTTTGTTGAGGGATAAGTAGGAAGAGAAGTATAGAGGGTTAAAGTTCAACATTGGCATGGGTACAGGACTGATGCTAATGGATTAACCACCCATGAACCTTCCTGTGGAAATCTGATTTTAGCAGCTCCCACACTGGTGGCTGTGTACCTCCATTGCCTAGACCCTAAGCTCTGAAGTTTCTTCCCTAAAGCTTTCCTTCTTTCCATCCCCTCTCCTCCAAAAATACCACTTTAAACTTAACCTTTGGTCACGTTTCCTAATATCTTCCCATGTGCTTTATTTTGCTTGTTCGATCTCCCTCAAAGCACCTTGGAATCTTCTTACAATGTTAAAGCTGCATGAATCAGAAATGCTAGCACGCAGGTAGAGCAAGTAATTAGGAAAGCTAATAGAATGTAATTTATCATGAGGGGCTTGAATACAAAAGTAGGGTTCAGTTATACAAGATGCTGGAGAGATTGCATCAGAACTACTGTGCACAGCACTGGTCATCTTATTGAAGAAACAATGTAAGTGTGTTGGAAATTGTTCGAAAAAGATTTACTAGATTAATACCTGGAATGGGATGTTGTCCTATGAGGGAAGGTGGAGAAGCTTGGCTTGTATTCACTAGAGTTTAGAAGAGTAAGAGGTGGCTTGATTTAAATATGTAAGGTCCTGAGGGGTCTTGGCAAGATGCATATGAAACATTTTGTTTATCCTATGGAAAAATCTAGAAGAGGGTCAGTAACTCATTCAAGGCAGGGGTAAAGATAATGTTTGTCCCTCAGAGGGTTGTGAATCTTTGGAACTCTCTCCTTGAAAAGGCAGTGGAAGCAGAGTTCTTATATAATTTTAAGTCAGAGATAGATAGAATCTTGATAAGCAAGAGGTTGAAAGGTTAGCAGGGGTAGACAGGCATTGGTGTAATCAGATTGGCTATGACTTTAGTGAATGATGACACAGTTGCTTTGAGAGGCTGAGTGGCCTAATTTGCTGCTAATTCGTGAGCTATATGTCCATGTAATTAGCAAGTTGTTGTTAACTCTCCTCTCCATGGAAATTGAGAAGCAAAAATCAAGCTGGGTGAATATTGGGCATTTGATCTGTGCCCACTCATTTTGTAGCCCTCACCGAAGTTGAATTTGACTGGAGAGCAAGTGAGACTGAGACAGAAGAAAAGATGTGATGGAGAGAGCCCGGTCGAAGTGTGGAGTTCATGGAAATTATTGCCAAAGCTGGAACTGGCAGAAAGGCAGATACCCACTGCCTAGAAACTGTGGCCCATGGGAAAGAGCCTCCTATCACCACCAACAGGAAACTCAAATTCCACAATCTCTGCCTGTTTCAGCTCGAATTAGAAAACTCTTTGTTGTCCAGGTTTCTAAAAATACTAAATATTTTCCTTCAATGATTTCCTAAGACAAACGCTATGTATCGTGCTGCAGCTGCACTTATTTTCAAATGATAAAATAAATCTTATGAAGTGTTCTCTTTACATCAACTGAGGGAACTATTTATCATTCGCTAGGATGAAAGGTGAAATTCTTCAAGAATTTAACACAGTGATTACAAAAGGATGTGGTCTACACTATACAAGTCTTCATGACTTCAGGGGAGACTTGGGCACCCATCAACACCAGATACAGTACAAAACGTTGACTGATGACTGGCTACCATTACATTTCATGCTTCCCACTGTAGACCAATATCCAGCTTGCTCCACACTTTGTCACACCATGATATACACAATGCAGACTGGGCTTAAGATGAGGAGAAAAGTCTTCACTCAAAGCGTTCTGAATCTTTGGAATTTCACACCCCGGATGTTGCTTTATTCAATATACATAAGGTCATGATAGACAGAATTTTGGTCTCTCAGGGAATCAAGGGATACTGAGAGCAGGGAAGGAAAGGAGTTAAGGCCGATGACAATACACGATCATCTTAAATGTCAGAGCGGGCTGAAGCTGATGGTCTACTCCTGCTCCTACTTCTTGTATACTTTACCAGGCTTTTTTTCAAACAAAAAGGTCAGAAAGTCATTTGGAAAAGTGTCCTAAGGGCATCAATTCCAAGAAAGCATGAGACTGCAGTCAAGTACCCTATAGTGTTAGTTGATGGAGTGTTAATATTGCTAGATATATAACAGACCAGAATGTCATTAGCTTTAGCTTGACATTAGAACAGAAGGTTCAGGGTCTCAGTTCAGAAGCTCAGGGCTTCAGAATGACTGCTGTTGACATTGAGCCCACACTTGATGGAGTGTGCCATTGAGGAGCCCAAGCAAAAGTCGAATCATGGGAATCAGGGGCCACACTCTGCTGGTTAGAATCATTCGAGAACAATGCAACCTGGTTGTGGCTGTCAGAAGTCAATCATCCTCAGGTCCTGGATATCTCTGCAGGAGTTCCTCAGGGTAGTGTCCTAGGCCCAACCATCTTCAGCTGATCCATCAATGACCTTCCCTCCATCATAAGGTCAAAAGTAGGGATGTTTGCTGATGTTTGCACAATGTTCAGTACCATTTTATGGTCCCTCAGATACTGAAGCAGTCCATGTTCAAATACAACAAGATCTGGACAACATCAAGGCTTGGGCTGACAAGTGGCAGGTAACATTTTGTGTGACACAAGTTTCAGGCAATGACAATCTCCAACAAGAGAAAATGTAACTATTGCCCTTAACTAACAAGGGCAGTATCACAGCTGAATCTACTGCTAACAACATCCTGTGGCTCACCATTGATGAGAACATGTATGAACCATACAAATACTGTGACTACAAGAATCCTGCTGGGAGTAACTCACCTCATGACTTCCAAAACCTTCCCCATCATTAATAATGTACAAGTCAGGAGTGTAATGGAATACTCCCCACTTGTCTGGATGAACGCAGCTGCAAAATACTGAAGAAGCTTGACACCATCCAGGACAAAGCAACTCGCTTGATTGGCACCAAATCCTTACCTTTAACATTCACATTCTGCACCACTGATGCTTGCTAGTAGCAGTGTGTACCATTTACAAGATGCACTGCAGAAATTCACCAAGGATCCTCAGACAACACCTTCCAAACACAGGACCACTTCCATCTAGAAGGACATGGGCAGCTGATGCATGGAAACACCACCACTTTCAAGTTCCCCTCCAAGCCATTCACCATCCTGACTTGGAAATACGTCACCGTTCCTTCACTGTCATTGGGTCAAAATTCTGGAACTCCCTCCCTAAGAATAATGTGGGTCAACCAACAGTATATGGACTACAATGATTCAAGAAGGTAGCTCACTACCTCATCCTCAAGGGCAGCTAGGGACATGCAATAATCTTGGCCCAGCTAGTGATGCCCACTACTCATGAAAGAATAAAAAACAGCTCAGAAGGGACAAATATTTCTCCTAGAAAGCAAACCAAGTTTAGTTCAGGAGAACAATCGTGATGACTAAACCGTTGCTAGTTCATGGAGCTTCCAAGCTGGGAGAGTTTGGATAAAAATCTTCAAGTTGAAAGTTTAGCTCTTCAGAATTGTGCAAGGTTCATGCTAGTGTAACTGGAAAGGAATTGCAGAACTGTGTCCACAGTCCAAGAAAAAGAAATTAGGAGGATTCAGTTAAAAACTCTCTGGAATGGAGTATCTATAAAAGGACAGAGTCGGGGACTAATGTGAAGCTTTACTTTGCTCTTGTCCTAAGATCTTTATAAATATATGTAAACTTTTTGATTTTTGGTAAAAAAAAACTTATGTTCTGTTGTTAAAGATCATCTGCAGCCTCCTGGGAGTATAATTCAGTGACTAAGCAGTGCAGTAACCAACTGCAAAGATTAAAGATATCATATATGCAATATCTCACTGGGGTAGTGTCCTCTAAATCAAGCCCCATGATCCCCAGAGTTGGTTGTAAAAGTAAAAAAAAAAATCAGACAATAGAAGTCCCCACTTTATCTGTCAAATAGACCAAGGTTAACAGAAAACGCAGACCAGGTTTCAGTATTGAACAAGAACTGCTATTTGTTACAAATTCTAACCACAGGTAAACACTATGAACTGGTGACATATGGTCTACTCTTTAAAATTCTACCACTTTTAAACCCCTAAGCACACACTTACAAACAGAGAGACAAAATAAAACACATTGGTGTTTTGGGTGGAGGGGACAAAAGAACTAGAAAAACAATTCAGTAGCACCAGCCCTCAAGATTTGAGTGGCTGAGATGTTTAACAACTACTGTTGTCCAAAAAAGGCCCTCAATGGAGGTGTAACTGTAAAAAAGAGAAAACTAAGCCCAGAGTCCCATTCCCAACCTTGTTTAAACTAACAATATTAACTTGTATGTATCGTAAATGCAAAGTCTCCACCTCCTTGGGGGACGTTCCTGAACTCCAAAGGAAACTGAAAGAGAGCTGGTGTCCCAGGTCACCATGTATATTTTCTATTCTCTTTCACCAGGTGTTAAACACAGGAAACCCCACAAGTATAACCAATTTGTTCTGACTGCAAGCATTTCCCATCATGAAATCACTTCTTAAGGCAAAAGGAAATACCTTTGACAAGTGTATAACCTGAATTCGGATAAGCACTTAATCACAGTTAACTCTGCAATGCATTAGTTTTATTGAGAACACATAGAGATGTCCCCCTTTGTGAGAGACGGTAACAAGTAAATATCCAGTTGTGGGAGCCAGAAAGTTACTCCCTCAAAAGATAAAGCTAACAGAAATCACTTCACATTTCAGAAGTTACAGCCCTATTTCAATAATTTGGGAAGCTACCCCTGACCCTGGTTATTCTTGCAGGATCGGGGAAGAAGATGCTTGGACGCTACATCCCAGCAATTATGTGGGGATGTCGGCCTAGCTTTTCCTTCCTCCTATTACTGATATCGGAGCATTCAAAGATAACAGAGCCACACTTGGAAATTTTCTTCTTAAACTTCACAACTTACTACATCTCTCCCACCTTGAAGTCTCTAAGTTCACATCTCAGAAAATACTTACAAATGGTCTGAGTCAATTTTCTCCCCCTATGCTATTATCCCCAGTCCCACCTCCACCATGTGAAGCACTCTAACACATAATGTTAAAATTACTGTCTGAGTACATTTACACAGTACTTCCAGCACAGAAACAGGCCATCCAGCCCAACAGTTCAATGCTAGTGTTGGTGCTCCACATGAATCTCCTCCTGTCTTCATCATCTCACCCTATCAACATTTCCTTCTATTCTTTTCTTCCTCCATGTATGGTACAGTGGCTTGGTAGTTAGCACCGCCTCACAGTGCCAGGGACCTGGGTTCAATTTCACCCTCAAGTGACTGTCTGTGTGGAGTTTGCCTGTTCTCCCCATGTTTGCATGGCTTTCCTGCAGGTACTCTGACTTCTACCCGTAGTGCAAAGGTTAGGTAGATTGGCCATGATAAATTGCCCTGTGTGTCCAAGGACGTGCAGGCTATGTGGATTATCCATGGTAAATGCAGAGTTATAGGGTAGAGGGGTGGACCTGGATGGGATGCTCTTTGGAGGGTTGGTGCCGACTTTTTGAGCTGAATAGCCTCTTTCTGCACTGTAGAGATTCTATGTATTTAACAAACTCCCTATAAAACATATTTCTGCTGTACTCACTGCTGCCACACCCTGTGGTATCAAGTTTCATATTGTAAACTGATGTTGAACATTAGGAACACTTGAACATACAGATAACACAAGCCTTTCTTTAAGTGTATCCATCCTGTAAAATTTGCTAAGGTTTTCCTCTGTGTTTTCCAAACACAGTTGTTTTTCATAATTCCAATCACAGTGAAAAGCAACACAAATTTATCATCACAATGCTTACTTCAGAAATCAGTGCAGCAAAAACTTAGACTCCAACCAAAAGCAACATTCTAGTCCCCCTGCTATAGGAAAGTTGTTGTTAAACTTGAGAGGGTGCTGAAGAAATTTACAAGGATGTTCCCGGGGTTGGAGGGTATGAGCTACAGGGAGAGGCTGAATAGACTGGGGCTATTTTCTTTGGAATAGTGGAGGCTGAGGGGTGACCTTATAGAAATTTATAAGATCATGAGGGGCTTGGATAGGGTGAATAGCCAAGGTCTTTTCACAGGGCAGGAGAGTCCAAAACTAGAGGGCATAGGTTTAAGATGAGAGGGGAAAGATTTAAAAAGGACCTGAGGGGCAACATTTTCACGCAGAGAGTGGTATCGAATGAGCTGCCAGAAGAAATGGTAGAGGCTGGTAAAATTACAACATTTAAGAGGCATCTGGATGGGTACATGAATAGGAAGGGTTTAGAGGGATACAGGCCAAATGCTGGCAAATGGGACTAGATTAATTTAGGTTGCCTGATCAGCATGATTGTGTAGAACCAAAGGCTCTGTTTCCATGCCGTACGGCTCTATGACTCTATAGCACAATATCTTCAGACTGTCCCTCTTTCAAGTTACTGGAATAGTGGTTAGTTCAGTTGGCTGGATAGCTGGTTTGTGATGCAGAGGGATACCAACAGAGTGGGTTCAATTCCTACTCCAGCTGACATTACTATGAAGGATTCTCCTTCCCAACCTCTCTCCTTGCCTGAGGTGTGGTGACCCTTGGGAGATCCACTACAGGTTGTCTCTCTCTAATGAGATAGCAACCCTGCAGTTGGTGGCTTTTAGCTTTTATTTACATCCGCGTTTCTTTCTTCACAAGAAGTGACAACCTCTTCCCCATGTCTCACTACTTTTGTCTGCTTAAAATTAATTCTTTTTGCTGCAGGATGCCAGCATTTTATATCCAATGCAATTATTGTTAAAAGCAGATAAATTGAAAACTGTATCAGCTCTGCAAAAAGTTCCAAAACTATTCAAAAATATACAACATTTTAAAATGCCAGAAGGCATTGACTGACGGTGTATACACTCTGCTTTTAAGTAGAGTTCCCCAATAAATTGGTAAATGTATTTTAGAATTTAGCACTGCACTTCATCAAGGACATATTATTGAATACATATATGGCCAAAATAAGTTTTTTACTTAACAAATCAGCAGCAACAAATCAATTGTAAAATAAAACTACACAGAAAGTTAATCCGAAACTGAAAAAAGAGAGGAGGTTAATATTTTGAGTACCTTGCTGTGAGCAGTTCAGAACTGGATCTCCATCAAAAACGTTAAATAGATTTTCTCATCTCATGAACACACTATGCCTTTTTAGCTTTGCTTTTGCCTGATTTCCAACACTGGCTTTTTTTTCTCTTGCATCTAATAAAACCTTTTTCTCTTACCACTTTCCATCCACCTTGCGGTCTTGGTCTGGATTTTGTTCTGGTTTTGCTTTTTAAGTGTATGGCTAATACATTTATAGAGGTTGTACATATAGATGCAGATTGCGTGAGATGTGAATCTGTGTGCAGGAAAATACTTGGGGATCAAGATTAAGGCCCAACCAATAGGAAGCCTGTATTGTTATTTACTGCAACATGAAGGATGGATGGTGGGGGAAGGGCTCATGTTTGAAATGTGTGTACAGTCCAATCTGATAACTGGATGGCTCTGGAGACGAATGTAAGGCATGGGTCTCGACCTCTGGACAGGAAACCAGGGGGAGAGGCCAATGTTGCTGTCAGTTTGAATTACGGTGGAAAAAGCTTAGGGTGGAGACAATGTTCAAGGATAACTGAAATGTGCAAAAGGGCAAATAAAGTGTCGATCCAAAAGGACTTGAATCCTTTTTTTTGCTTTTCCCGTATCCTGTGAACATTATTTAAAGCAAAGATTATCACAAGAGATACTGCAGTGTCCATCCATTAAAGGTACCAGTGGTTTGGCTACAGTGGTGTACAAAATTGAGGACAATATTCAAACTGAAGACACGGCAAATCATTCAAGGATCAAAGGAAGGTGCAACAGGGTATTGATAAGTTGGTGAAGCAAGTAGCAGATGGAATTCAACATCAGCAAATGCACAGTGATAGATTCTGGTAAAGGTAAAATGATCATTATACTTCAGATGAATGGGAAATTTATCAGCAACAGCAGAGGAATTTAGATGTTTAACGTCATTAAGTGTTAAAAGCAGCATCTCAAATGGCTTGGGCCAGAAGAACAGATAACAAAAATGCTGAATCTTCTGCCAAGAAAGTGTTGAATACAAGTCAAAATTTAAGGGTGAGTCTACATAAAACCTGAATCAGAACATTAGAGATTCAGGCTGTACATAAGGAGAATGATATGGAGGTAATAAGGAGGGTACGGTGTGGGTTTATTTGGAAATATAATTCCTAACACTCATTGGCGATTAAAGGGTAATTTGATGAAGGTGCATATAATTGTGAAAGGATGAGACAGACTAGAGTGAAAATTTCTGTTTCCAATACTTTCAACATCTAGGACTGAAAGGGATATAGATTATTCGTTAAAGGGATGAGTTTTAGGGTAGAGGGTAGAAGAAACAATTTTATACAAGGGGCTTTGAGACTATAGAATGGTGCATGGGAGTTAGCAATTGAAACAGACACCATGTCAACATTCTATATCACATTGAAACAGGCCATTTGGCCCAGCTTTTTATGCTTCCATGTAGGACTCGTCCTATTCCAATTACCTCATCTCAATTTTTTGCAATCTCTTTCTAGTCCCTTTTTTCTCATGCACCCATCAATTTCCCTTTGGTAACACCTAACCCATGTGTCTAAACTATTAAAAGAAAGTGGGATAAAGGGGTGCAAGAACAGAGAGGACACATGGATGTGTGGATGGTAAATGCAGTCTTTGGACTGTGAATCAGCAACTCGTAGGAATGCTGGAGAAATACCAGCAGGAAATATTTTTCATCATTCCCCAGTTCCAGTGGAAGGACAGTTGAGCAAATGCTAGTATCTTCCATGAAGTCAATTCCACAAACATTCAGGCAAGCCTCCTTCAAAACTAGTTTTGATAGACTGGGCGCAGTATCTCCTCCCACCAGGTTTCCCAACTCTCAAATGGAAGCTCGCCTTCAAACCTAGCAACATTGTCTGTAAGTGACTGTGAAGAGTCTCAAATTGGTGACAACTTGTCCATTGAGCTACATCACGCTTCGAGCTCAAGCAACTTAATGAGGCAGAGCAGTGACAGAGAAGAGAAGAAAAGGAAGTAGATCCTGGATTCTGGGTCATGGAATGTCCTGCCCCATGCTCCAAAAGAGCTGCAGGTTGACTATTAGCCTAGTGAGTCGCACAGAGACTGACTGCAGACTTACTACACATCATCTTCAAATTGAGGGATAGCCAACCACATGGACACTACATACTGACATGGGGTGGCTGAGATGCACAGCCCCCTTCCAATGTTATAATTTTAGGCAATTCTACAAAATCCAGAAAAGAAATACTTGCATTTGTACAGTGCCTTTTGCACCGGGGGATTTTGCAGTGTTTTGTAACCAATGAAGTTATCTCAAAGTGTCGTCCTGATGAACAAAATGCAGCAACCAATTTGCACACAGTAATTTTAAAAAATCACAGTCCGGGCTGGCTATAAACAGGCCCAGGCAGTGGTCTGTGGAGGGGATCGTCTCTGCCAACTGTCTGCCCCTTTTCTGCGGTCATGTTTGTACTCGGACATCCTTGGTGAGGGAGCAGGTGACGTCCATCAATGATCTCGATGCCTTTAAAGAGCAGTAGGCACTGCGGGGGACTATCCCTTCCAACTCCATTTTGATTTAGCCCCTTCCATCTCTCCCTACACTCCACTTCACTTTTGATGGTTTGCATTTCCCATCATGAGCTTTGCTTGTACACATCTAATTGGGTTCTTCACTGGTGGCAGTTACTAGTTTTGAAAAAAGTCAGAGCGATTTGGTGGTGGGAAAGGTGCTCAGTTGTGCGTGATAGCAGTTCTGGGTATGAAGAAGGAGAAAAAAAACTCATAATGCTCAAAGCGTTGCTCTCGTTGGCACTGTAAAGCCTTCATTCCAGAGCACACCCTGGCAAAAGATGGTATTTGCACTTGACAGTTTGTGAGTACATAGCTACTCTTTTGCTGTGCCGAGTACTCTTGCAAAAACTGGCAGCCAGGAGGTGTTCTCCAATGTGAGAGAGAAGAGTCTTTCTGCCCTAATCTGCAATCTGTCACTGCCCCAGAATTCAGCAGTGTTCAGAAAGATTCGCTTCCAATAATATCTGCCACCCTATTTGCCCCCAGTGACCACTTATGCTATTCTCCAATTCATATGCAGAATGTGGGCATCTCTGACTGAGCCAACATTCATTGTCTATCAGACAGTTAAGAGTCAACTACATTGCTGTGGATCTGGAATCATATGTAGGCCAGAACCTCAGCTTCCTTCACTAAAGGACATTAGTGAGCCAAGACAGATTTTACCTCCAACTACCAGCAATGATTCCAGTGTTATCATTAGACTCCAAATTCCAGATGTTTTTATTGAATTCAAATTCCACCATGGCAGGATTCGAACCCGACTCCTCAGAATATTACTTGGTCTTTGGATTAATAGAAAAGCGATTATACCAGTATGGCATCACCTCCTCCTGACTGGGGCTAGACACAGCATGAACATTTGAAAAGTATTTCTAAAAGGTGAGTTGTCCCTTAGAGTTTATAATTTTGGTCAGTTCACTGTTGTTGCCCTCTAGTTGTTTAAGGTTGGCCTACAAATACCAATGTAGAAATATTGGTATTATAGCGATAAATTAACTCAATTCTCATAACTTGTTTTCTAAATAACTCCACAGGAGCCAGTATCCCATCACCAAGTCCCTCTTTATTTACAATGCGTTGAACGTGACACTGGCCCAGCCGGCACAGAGTCAGCTCTTAGAATGAGCAGAACCCCTGACCTTACTGTTTATATCTGTCAGCCAGGGCTCCCTGATTAGGGCTGTAAACCCAGTCCAATCAGAGAACTCATATTCTATGATGTCTACCTTGCTAACTTCATTCCAATCACTACAGTTTCTATTACTGAAGTCTATACAAAACACAATTTTATATCAAATGTACCTTTTCGATCTTCGATTCCTTTATTTCCTTCCCTTACCTTTGTTGATTTGAGCTTTGATGTTACTTTTCTTCATTAAAATCTTGGGTCTTTATCTTTCTTTCTTTCCTACAACCACTTTACTAGGCAGGATTAAGTCTTCCAGCCAATCAGAAGCTCGGGTTCTCCAAGCAGAAACAATCGCATGGTGGATGTGACTGGGTGAATCCTTCACAGGAGAATGGCAGACCAGCGAAAAACTGTTGTCACAAGTGGTTGGCCTTGTCAGTTAGGCCCCCATCACACAGCCCAGCAGCAACAGGACAAGTAAACTCATTCATGCTAATGAGAAGGTTAGCACTGTGCTGTCATCTGTGATTCACAATCCAACACCAGCCACATCATTGTGAACTCTTATGTTTCTACGTCAAGTGAAACAATTTCTACCATTTCCACGATAGCTCCACTGCTTGTGTCAGTGTTGCTCTATTTCTGGGTTATTTGGTGAAGTTGTGCCACTGCTGGGTGGGTCCATGGAATTCCCATTATTACTACAATAACTTGCTTTTATAAATCACCTTTAGCACAAGAAACCTCACAGGAGAGCAAACAGATAGAAATTGACACTGGATCCAAAGGAGATAGCAGAATGGGTGGAAAAACACTTGGTTGAAGAGGTAGGTTTGAGCACCTTAAGGGGAAGTGGAGAGACAGTGATGTTTAGGGAGAAAATTTAAGAACTTAGGGTCTCAACATCAGAAGGCATTGCCATCCATGGTGGGGTGAAGGCAGTGAGGAATGTATAACAGGCTAGAGCAATAGGAGTGAAAAGTTCTCAAAGGATCCCAAGGATGGAGGAGCTCACAGGGATAGGGTGGCATAGGACTGGGGAGGGACATGAACACAGGGACCAGAATTTCAACACCAAAATGTTGGTAGACCAGAAGCCAATGTAGGATAATGAACATTGGACAGTTGTGTGAAATGCGATCCAGCCAGGAGAGTTTTGGATTAGATTGGGTTTCTGAAGCCTGGGAGCTGGGACACCAGCCAGGAATAGCCACACTATCCCAGGAACTCAACCGAAAGACCTGAAGAGTACAGCTCAGTGGCTCAGTAGGCAAAGGTAGCACGCCCTAGTGAAGGTGACGCATCAAGTTAGAAAGGTTCAATTCTGATCCCCACTCTGTAGCTAGGACTATATGGAGTATGCCAGGGTGGGATAGATGGCAGAAGGGCCCACATGATTGAGGAGGAGGCTGTACAGTCTATTCCCGCTGGTGGAGCCTCCCAGATTTACATACTCATTACTTGCCCAAATCTGTTGGTGGCCTCCCA